TATTTTCACTGCACCATCCACAAGTGAAGAATATTTCATAAAGCAAAACCAGAATTTCTTTAGTTTTATGTTTTCACACAATCTAAATTCAAAATCATAAAAATCTACACTAAACTTGGTTAGTAATTCTAAGACTGGATGCACACAATGACCTCACAAAAAAGCTCTGAAAACGAAATGCCAATGACATTTCATGACTATTCTACACAGAACTTAACATTTAATTGTGAATTTTGGACAATAAATTGACTAAGGCACCCAATTGAAACATAATGCTTATATGACGACACAAAAAAAACAGGACATTCTCAGTATGCAACCCTCACAGCTCCCGTCACGTGAATATTTAAGAGATTTCGATCTTGGATGTGCAGCGTGAAATATTTCTGTGGAAGCTATGACATGTGTGGTGAGGTGTCTTTTTTTTTTTAAATGAAAAGAAAATTTAGATCGTCACCTGTGCTGGCAGAGACAATAAGCTTAAACTGAGATACAGGAGTCACCCAGACGCTTCGGACCAGCGGCCAACCTGTCGATCCCCGATATCCCAGTGACCGCTTTCAGACCACTGGCTTCTCCCGGGGGAGGGGGGGAAGCGACACCTCGCTCACTGTTGCCATGCCGACTGCTTCATCTCTACGTACCATTCCACATCACCCAGGCATTGGTAAATGTAGCTGGTCGCTGTTAGTTGGTTGCAAGGGAAAAAAGAATTCAAGTTAATACCGCGTCCTTGATTTCAGATGAACAAATTTTCCTTTTTAAATTGTTCTCTACTTCATTCTGGAATTAAAATGATACTAGCCAGTAAGTAATCACAATATAGCTCAACTGGCACCACGTTCCCTTGATCAAGATTACACTTTTGAGCTGTTTGAATGTTTTTTACTTGCTCAGGTAATCAGAATATCCTGCTGTTACTACCAATTATGACTGATGAAGGAACTGAAAAGCTTTAAAATGGTTTAGAATAAAGCAAACAAAATTAAGACATCATACCAACGACAAACAGAAGTGCACAGACTACTCACAGTCAACATGTTTAAGTATACCTGAATCATTTACGATTTGAGGTGATGACGTTAAATGTTATTCAAAGAAAAATAAATCAGTCAAGGTGGGAGGCTGCTCGCACAGGTAACGAACAGAGGAACCGGTGTGACAGAAACCCTGCGAGAATGAGCCATGCTTACCTTTTGCCTCGGAGCTGCCTTAAATGATGAAACACATTGATGACATCCCTTATTCGTCGAGGGGCTTCTTCGATCTTTGAAGCCAAGTTAATACAGGCCATGGCAACAATCTACAGAGAGAACAGACACAGAAAGAGCTGTCAAAACACTATTTCACAAGAATGCACGCAGCATACATTAGTTGATAGACTGATAAAAATATAAACTTGTTAGCGGATATTACCATTTTGTGCTTTAAAGTAGTGAATTTGAGCAAATGTTTGTGAAACATGCATTTAATTTGTATCAGCCAATGGAAAAAAAACAAAACAAAACAAAGGTCTACAACTATACACATTCTCAATAGGACAATTATAACGAGAGCTGTGTGTATATCCTCCGGAGACCCAGCTATGGAGTTTTTGCCTCTGTAGTGGACATTATATTTTAGTGAATTTCTCGAAGACCTCACATGTCACAGTGTTAAGTCTTAACAGAATTGAATAGGAAAACAAATTATAAATCAATATTCTTATGAAATATTAGATATTATTATGAAAATCTGGCCAATTACTACCCAACGTAGTGAGCTGTCTAACTAGACAGTAAATTAATCCTTTCTAACGCGCCTATGATGCCCAAAAATGCCGCCTAGTTAGACAGTTCGCTGGTATTTGAAACCACGCCCGTTATAACTATCCTATTATGACGACAACGTTTAAAATAATATACACCATTGAGCGATAGTTTTGGTTATAATCTGGTTGAATGTCATTACAGTACAGTAACGTTAGCTCAAACAACATGGCTGCCATCCGCATTGCTTGTAAATACGGCTTTATTCTCTTACCTCAAAACTGTGTTTCACGAAAGACTTCGAGTAGAAGAATCGATGAAAAAGCACTTGTCCGGTCGCCATGGCCACCTGAAACATAATTACGATTAAAGAAATTTTATTATAAACGGCCCTGTTTCGTTTTCAAAAGCAACGTCCGCCATTTTGTTTTTGTCTAGCCGACGGACACCGTTCGTGAAAGACGTTCAAAATCACTGATATCGATCTCTAGATTAGGCACACGGTATAAACTAACTTTAATTATAATTTATTTAGGGGGAAATACTTCTTGTTGAATTATTTTATTGGGTTATGGGTGCTTGTTTGATAGTGTCACATCGAAATTGCTTCATGATAATGGTTTATTTAAAGTCACCATAATTTGACAGCTTCACTTCATTAATCGTTTAAGTAACGTTAGCTTGACAAACCGATTAATTACGTTACCTGCGGCAGTCGCAGCAGGATTCCGGCGGACTGGATGAGCTCGCAGCCCAGGATCCGCAGGTCTGTCTCGGTGTACAGGTCGAGGCCGTCCTGCATAGACGGGGTCGGGGAGAGATTTTCCTCAGGAATCAAAGAATTATCGATGGTGAGGAAGACTTCGGAGTACACTTTATCCCCTATTAATATGCCCTCGCTATTAGCAGGCGCGTTTGCGGCGGGACCGGTGGCCATCGACGCCTCCATGATCGCTGTTGTCGGAACCTGCCGAGGACGATCGAGTTTAGAAACAATTTCGTAACCCAGAGCGGAAAACAGCACTGCTCATCGCTGCTTATGGGACAGCTCGCTGATTGGTGCGGAGATGTGTCATGTGACCTCAACAATCCAATCGCTGTCAGATAACTGTTAGTTTATTCAACGCTGCAACCCACCATAGTACGTTTTTGGGCCCATAAATAATTATACGTTTTAAATATATTCCTGCTGGGGTTGTAAGCGCTCTCAGACAGGTAGTAATTATTAGATTTTAATTATTAGATTAAAATTACGATTTTATTTTTCACAGCGCCTCCTGCAAATGGAACTTATTGCAGTCCGTTACTATAAATGACGCTTGTAGGCTACTTCCAGTGGTTTTTTTTATTTTGTCAGGATTGAACGTAAACCTCACGAACAGCAGATTTGTACACTTCCGCGGCCAAGCCGAATAAAATGTGTTTTATTCACGTATAACATAAATGAATATATAAAACTCTCCACGTAATTACGCAGGAGCAAGCATAGCAGTTATCAACATAGTTTTGTTTCAAGGTTATGTATATTCTGTCAAATAACTATGTTGTTGAACTTATTGTTATTAATTCCTTTGTTTTGCATTACAATTTCTTTATTTCACAACATGAAATTCCTAACACTTTGCCTAGATTTGAAGTCTTCCTTGCTGAGATTTCCCATACTCTAAAATCTCCAAAACTCACATAACAAATTCCCTCAGTCTTTCTTGTCAATTGAAGTGTACTGTTTACTTGTTTGAAGTTTTCCTTCCTTTTTCGTATTACGTTATTTGTATTACAATGCTGTGCTGTTTCTTTTATTATTTTTTCTTTTCTTTTTTTATTTATTTATATTTTAAATAAAAACATACCATTATAGATTTTATAATGCTAATACACTTAGTGGGCTCATATACGTTGTTTTCTTGGCGAAGGTAAGTTATAGTTATACGCATATTAAGTAATATGTGTAGGCCTATTTATTATCACATGTATATCACGTTTTATGTTTAGGCCTACTGTTAACCAGTGACTGGATTCTGACGGGAAGTTGACGTCCAGTGAACTGAAACCTGTGTGCAGTACATATCAATCCGCGGGTAGGTTCTAATCTACAGATGTGTGCCTGAGGCAAAGCCAAACTTTTTAATTAACTGTCTGAACTGATATGAACGATCTCCTAGATATACATTTTTCTGGAACAATTTTTTGACAGTATTTACTGAAAAAGAACATGGTTAATCGCTGGAAAATAATGCATTTCTAACAAAAGATGTACATTTTAGGATAGGCCTACGTTACATTTTAAGTACATTTTACTCCATAATATCTAGCCAACTAACTCCCAAATTGCTCCTTTTGCTGAAGTTCCCAATTTAGTGCTCTATAAACCTGAGGAAGTAACTTAATTTATTTTTATAAATGCAATCAGATACATTCCCTTTGGGAGAATATAAGTTGTTATTTATCTCCTTTTGTAAAATGTGATTTAAACTTTGTTTGTATGTATCCCGTCCCCTTTGCATTTTGATGCAGTGCTGTTTCTTCTATGCAATAAAACTGATCTCAGCATTATACATTATGAAATTCTAATGTGTGCTTGAATTCATCTGTTTTATTAGAAATGGTCACCCCAGTGTATGAACGTCGAAGATGATTTTATTCCATATAGACCCTTAAAAATATAATACACTTTACGATAAAATATTATAGGCACTACAGTTATTACCAGAGGATTTATCAACCACCGTCAAAAACAAAAAACAAACATAAAATTAAGAATTTGTTCCATGTCCCATGATTTCTAGTAATGGCCCTAGTCATAATTATGGTATATTTTGACAGAAATTATGGTTACTATGGGAATGTTTTGTAGGGTAATAGAGGGAACAAACAGTACTTCCAGTTGCGGTCATATTTCTGTAAAATTTCACAGGCAAAAAAAGGTCCGTTGTCAATGGCGTAGCGATGTATGAACCAAGCAGTTTTCTGTTGGTCAGTGCAGTAAATTTGTGTGACCAACTTGAACCCGAGCAAAATCTGTCAGGGCAAATCTTTTGTCCTCAAAGAAATTCTTGACTGCGTGGATTCCTATTAAAAAGACTGGATTTTGCCCATGAAAATTTGCCAAACAATGGTAAATGTGACCATACCTTTACACAAAATATAAGTATTCTTGGAATGCCACTTGTCCAATCAAATCAGTGGACTCGAACTGTTGGAGAAGGCCCGTTCACACCAAGATGGTAACAATAAAGATAACTATAACAACAACTTAAGCCCTTTATAGTCAGGTGGATTTTGTTTGGCTGTCAATGTTTTAATCGTTCATCAGCTGGAAAGAAAGTCCTTTTGAAAGTAATTCCATGGATATTATCCCTCTATGTCATTACAGTTGGAATTAGAATGATTAATAATACTTTATAGTTAGAGACATCATTGTAGTTTTAATCCTAACAGGCTTTAATTCACTGTTATTTCTTCTCTCTCTCCACACTGTCCTGAGCTTGATCTCTCATCCTGACCGCCTGGTGTCGCTGAAGGAGCTGGACTATGTCTAGCTGATTGTGTGCCCTTGCAACATCCTCTGCTGTCTCTCTCCAGCTGCTCCTCATAGCGGGATCAGCGCCTTTGTCTAGCAGAACCTTGAGAACCTGTGGATTGAATCACAACACAGGTAAACTGGTAAAAATTAATTTCCTACATTTTCCCGTATGAAAGCAAAATCACAGATGAGATCACAGATCTCAATTTTTTAAATAATAATTCATAATATTACAGTTTTGACTGTATTTTTGATCAAATAAATGCAGCCTTGGTGAGCATATAAGAGGCTTCTTTCAAATCCTTTAAAAAAAACATAATTATTCCAAACTTTTGATCGGTAGTGTATGAACTTATGGAAACCATAAAAATGAGAGAGAATCAACACACCTTGCAGTGACCCCTCTCAGAGGCCAAGTGCATAGGTGTCTGTCCGAGCCTCTCCACAGCATCCACATCTGCCCCATAGTGCAGCAACAGTTTGGCAGCCTCAACGTTGTCCCTGAGCGTTGAGTAGTGCAGTGGTGTCATTTTGAGGTTGTCCCTGTCCTCAAGTCCTGCTCCATTCAGAATCAACAAGTGCACCACAGCCCTGGAGCCACTGCGGGCAGCCAGATGCAGCGGAGACGCCACATCTCCATCCCTGACATCAACCTTGGCCCCTCCTGTTAACAGCAGCTGGAGGATCTATGGGGAAGGAGAGTAAAAGAAAGATCAAATGGTGCTAAAGGAGACAGGAACAGTACACTGTCCTTCACCCACACAAATGCCATCTGTTTCACAGTGCGCAGTTGGCGTGACTCTGACAGAACACAGCCAAGAGGGCAGCGAGACCTTGAATTCACAGTCTTGGCAAATTCAAGCTATGCTATGCGGAAACAAATGCATTGAGGTGTTTATAGGACACTTCATGTATACAGATTTATACTGAGTGATCACATGATCAGTGCTGGATAACATTGGATAGCATAACATTATTTAATCACTCTTGTTTTAAAGTATCTAACATGTTACACTGCCAGATTTATGTATCATTTTACATGTCATCAAGCCGCATTTAATACAGCGTCTCACTAGCCAATATTCCAGCCACAAACTTAATTTACACGGTCTCTGGCGCTTTTAAAGATTTCCCTGAAAACAGTTGGTAGATGTGACGTGTTGCCCATTTGTTATGGGCAACAGTGGTATTTTCAATTATATGTGCCTGTAAATATTCTATATTAAATTAACAAACAGTAGTAATTTTTAACTGAAAAAAGTAGCTCATAATTAAGGTGGCACCACCCATAATTTGTTCACTGACCACACTGTCAGTGAACCAACTTAACAATACTCTAATTTGTTAAGGCCAAATTGATTAGTTTTTCTCAAATTATATGTATGGTTTGGTTCAAACCTAAATTTTTGATTTCATATTAATTAAAAACATTTCCTTTCAAAAAGACAAAACTTTCATCCAAAGTTAAAAGATTATTGATTATAAACGCCGTATATACTTAATAGATTTTCTTTAGACACAAGCCAAAATGTTTCTTAATGTAGGTCAATATAATATTTTTGGAGATTTGTACAATTCAATTTCACCATAAATAAAAGCTATATTAAATAAAGATTCCAAAAGACTTGAATGTTTTCATTTTTTTCAAAGGGAAGGGTTATTTGCAAACTGAACAGAACCGGTTTAAACCATAAACCATGATTTTCACTTAGACCAATATAAAAATGGTATTAATATGAATTTTTTCAGTGCATCTTGCACATTTGAAAGCATTTCTGAAAACCTAAATTTGCGTTATGACTTCTTAAACCTCTCTAAACCATGTTTTAAAAAGTACCAGGTTGATATTATGAGCCATTCTTAGAATAAATTATTAGTACGACTTCTCAGGTTAATGAAATAAAATCTTTGAAAGATAGTAAAAGATACTAACTGTGTATATTTTGCTTTGCTTTTACATTACAGTCTATTACAGGGGTATAATCATTTTAATATTTTTTATGCTCCTAAACCAAACAAACAATGGTTAGTTGCTTTACATGTTGGTATTTTTAAAGCTGACCAGACTTTAAGCGCATAGTCAGTCACCTTCTTGTCTCCAGAGCAGGCGCAAAGGTGCATGGCTGTGTGGCCGTTAGGACCCCTCATATTGGCATCTGCACCTCGGTGGAGCAGTAGCCTCACCCCCACCTCATTCCCCACCAACACTGCCAGCTGTAGGGGGCTCATGCCCACACCTTTTCCTCCCTCTACGTCTGCCCCATTATCTAGCAGCAGCTCCGCCACATCCCCCCAGCCTCCAAAAATTGCCCAGTGCAGGGGTGTCCACTTATGAAAGTCCTGGGGGTTCGGTGAGGCCAAGTGCTGCAGCAGAACCCGAGCTGTGCCCAGGTGCCCGCTGGCTGCAGCCAGGTGAAGGGGCGTCTGGCCGGAGCAGGACCTCGCTGAATGTGACGCCCCCTTCTGGAGGAGAAAGTCTGTGGTCTCTGGGTTTCCTCCACTGCAGCAGCGGTGCAGGGGAGTGCAGTTGAAGAAGTCCTGGCTATTTACCTCCACCTGGCCGGTTTGCAACAGGAACTTGATCAGCATGAGATGACCCTTAAAAGAGGCGTGGTGGACAGCTGTCCAACCATACGGGTCCCTGGAAGTACAAAATGGCCCAGTCAGCAAAAAAATGTCTGTATATTTATTTTGGGAATAGCGCAACAAGCTTTTTCATGGTATTAGACATTACTATTTTTACACTGGTATCTTTTGTTACTAACGTAATTGTAAAATGTAATAATTCTTTATTTCAAAGGGACATGTCATGGAAAGTGTGACATAACCAACGCTATAGCAAAAATACTGTCGACAGAAAGGTGATAAGTGTAATTTTTTCATATTAAAGTCAAAATATTTTCTCCTAATTCATAGTTGACCCAAATATGAAAATTCTGTCATCATTTGTGACCCTGGACCACAAAACCAGTCTTAAGTCGCTGGGGTCAGCCTCATGCCATTTCACACCCATAACACTTTAGTTAATCTTCTAACCACAAATTAAGATTTTTTCCCCCATTGAAGACATCCTAAAATAAATCCATATGAATTGGAAATATTTGTTTTAAGTAATAGTGTTTAACTGCGGGAAGTCTGGTGAGAAACTTGCATTAACCATGATTCTGCAGAGAAATCTCCACCAATCAGAGAATCAAAACAAGCAAATCTTGCCAAAAATATCTATCTATCTATCTATCTATCTATCTATCTAAATCAATGGGACAAATGAATGGAAAAAATACTTTCAGAACCAAGGCTGCCGAAAAATTGGATTGGCGCATTTCCACTCGATATGAGAGCAAAAACTTAACATGGAAAACTTTTCATGACACACAATGTAAGCTACAAAATCAGATCATTCAATGTGCAATATGGCTCCTTTAACAGGTTAAACGTGTAGTTCACCTGAAAAAATAGCATCATACATGTTTGGAACGACATTAAAATAATGGCAGTTTTTTGGTTGAACTGTTGCTTTAACAATATAGATCACTAACTGGCAGTTAACAGGCACGCCACATTCCAGCATGGTCTTGACTTGGTCCAGACATCCCTCCCAAGCAGCATAATGCAGTCTGCGCTCATCCAGGAGAGAGTGTCTGGGTTTGGGTCGACGATGGATCCTCCACTGTCTGGTCCCTGCAGCCGTCCGGACCTTCCTCTCCACAGACCCTATAGACACAGAGTCATGGAGCTCCAACCACCTCCAGTGTACCTCTGGGCCTGCATGGGCCATGGCAGGAGGATAGTCTGTGGAAGACAAGGCCATGGCACAAAGTGGCACAAAAAAAAAAGAGAGAGAGAGAGAGCTTTATAAAGTACTCCTTTCATTTTCATTGCTCGTTATTAAAGATAATACTGCACTAGAAGAGTATGGACAGTTGTACAAATTAGTTTCTGGGTAACTATACACTAATTCCACCAGGGGGTGGTAAAAGTTTACAGCAGTTAGAAGATTCTCAGCCAGTTTGGTTACATCACTAATTTGGACTGTTACTGACCTACATTTAAAGTGTGATACATTTTTAATATGCGTAAATCAGAGTGGTTGCGTAACCTGTAAAGTCATTGTCTCAATGTCTCCAAAATTTCTACATTGATCTTGATTGACTCTTCTGATCTGTTTTTCTGCTGTAATTCTATCTAGAGATACGGTTGTCATGGTAACAATGGCTGCAATTACTATTTTAGAGGTTTTCATTAACTTTACTGGCAGTCTGTCGTATAGAGGAGAAACAACACATGGAAAACATTTTAGTGATATTATTAGAATTTCATTGTAAGTCTATAGTTTTTTTCCCACCCATTTTATCGCTCACCTGCCAAAAATTCTAAATCTCTCCACAACAAGCCACACATTCTGAGATATCATTTATGTCTGAAACACAAAGCTTAATACAAACTGTATGAGCAACAGTTTTAGTAATGCATGCCTTAAGTTTGTTTTAAATAAAAGTTGGTAATTTTTTTTTAGTTCACCCAAAAATATAAATTCTGTCATCCTTTACTCACTATCATTTCATGCCAAACCTGTATGGCTTTCTTTCATTTGTGGATTTTTGAAGAATGTTGGTAATGCTGCTTTTGGTGACCACCGACATCCATTGTATGGGCCAAAAAAAGACATTTCTCTGAATCTTCGTTTATGTTCCACAGAAGAAAGTAAGTCATATAGATCTGGAATGACACAAGACTGAGTAAAATAATGACAGAATTTTCATTTTTGGGTGAACTTTTGTGCAGTATGTGCACTCATACTGACAAGACGAAAAGAGATGTAGTTTAAAAAGATAACAGTTTAAGTGTTCTGCTTAGTGTGAATGCATGTTCCATGTCAAGCTATGAGCCACAGGAGATCTGGAGGCGTGTACAGCCTGTCATGTCGTGGGAGTTTGGGATTATGTGGGCGGACAACTGGCTCCTGCCCTTGCAAGACAAAATATATCTTTTAAAAACATGCAAATGCACAGATACACTGCTGTTGAGGAAGATTAATAATTAGACATCAAGTAAAATTATGCTATTTTGTTGCATTTACAGTGAAATTATTTGAGTCATATTTCTTAGTAGTGGCTATTAAACTCCTATTTTAAATGGTACCCCAAACAATTATCAGTTCATAAGATAACTTGCATCATTTCTTGTGTATTCAAATTAGCATTCACATAAATACACATTACCAGAGATTTGCTTTTCAATTTGCAGATCCGTCCAACTGAGTTGACTGGAAACGAGACAGAAGTTACCTGTGAGTGCCAGTTACTCCATGATGTCTTGCTTCTCTCCAGTGTGCTGATGAACAGATTTCTCAGGGTGACATAACATGTAAGTCCGGTCTTTCCACCCCCTCTGATATCGGTTAAGTGTTTTATGTTCATCTGAGGTTGCTATGGTGAGAATAGGCTTTTAGAGCACTGTTATTGTATGATGGCACAGACGAGAGAGAGAGAGAGGTTGGGGCTGCGCATGCCTGATGGTTACTGTGTCTCTTTTACTGTATTCTGTACACTTTGAATTACCATTGTTTTTGAAATGTGCTATAAACCTGTCTTGTACAATTATTATCATGGTCATTTTGCTTATTGTGAGATCACAATTCAATGCATTTGTTATGTTTGGAATGAGTATACTAAACCATTAGGTTTCCATCAGGGTTGCACCATGAAGAAATGAAGAAATTCAATTCCTGAATGAATTGAGGTATAGCAAATGGGTTGCAGAATTGCAATTCAATTTGAATTTAAGGAAGCAGAATTTAAATAGAATTAAATTCATACTGCTGTAAGTGTAGGATTTTGGTGGCAAAATGAAATGGCTCTTAAAGGGTTAGTTCACCCAAAAATTACTCGCCCTCAAGTCATCCTAGGTGTATATGACTTTCTTCTTTCAGATGAATCCAGTCAGATTTATATAAAAATGTGTCTTTGATCTTTCAAGCTGTTTCATGCCACTCAGCGGGTGTTGCATGCATCAGTCCAAGAGCAGTTAAATAAAAAGCGCCCATCCATAAAAAAAAAAGTGTCTCACACGGCTCCGAGGGCGTGAACAAAGGCCTTCTGTAGCGAATCAATGCGTTTTTGTAAGAAAAATATCCATATTCAAAGCGTAATAATCACTTTAATCTAGCTTGCGCTCACTGTTGTACACTGGAAGCAGTTCCGGGCGGATGACGTATGAGGTCAGTGCATGCGCATGCGCCGGTGAGTCTCGTGAAAAACAATGTTTGTTAACAGGAGCAAAGGAAGCAAAGTTTCCTTACTTTAGCAAATGAAAACCAGTCTCCTCTTGGCTTATATCGAAATCCTCTGACATTCTTCTTTACAAATCCTCGTTTTGTACTTCTAATTAGTGACCGTTGTTTTGTTTTGATCGCTCCGCTGCGCTGCGCTTCCGCGTGCATCACAAAGCCGACCTCATACGTCATCCGCCCGGAGCTGCTTCCAGTGTACAACAGTGAGCGCAAGCTACATTAAAGTTATTATTATGTTTTGAATAAAGATATTTTTCCTACAAAAACACATTGATTCGCTACAGAAGGCCTTTGTTCAGCCCCCGGTGCCGTGTGAGACACTTTTTTTTTTAAGGATGGGCGCATTTTATTTAACTGCTTTTGGACGGATGCATGCAGCTAATTTTCATTTTTGGGTGAACTAACCCTTTTTTAAGTGTTGTGACAGAACTGGACATCATAACACATCTGTTCTACATATCATGGAATACATTTGTGTATTTTTGCATAATTAATTATGCAGTTTCCATGTCTTTCCAGCGAGTCAAGTTTTCACACAACATGTTGGACTAATGAAATTCCTTTGCTGCCTGACAGTGTTAAATGATATAATTCAGTAAATTCCTGTTGTTTGTGGGCTGTTCAATTTAATTTCACATTCATGAATCAAAAGATTTATAAATTCAGAATCGTTCTCGTTTTGATTAAATGTCATAAATCTGTGCAAACATAATGTCTCTTATTCATGAGATCATATGATGTTATAAGGGGCATTAAAATAATGCATTAAAAATAATTTTTACAATGCATTGCATATACAGGCTTCTAGTTAAGTGTTACCATTGTTTTATCTTTATGAACTATGCCTTTAAATGCTCAAATATATACAGTATATTTAATGCTGAAATGTTGCTGCAACCTGTCGCAGATACTTCTCTTGAAATTCCTTCGGAGAAATAAATAGCATTACAATGCAATATAACTGTGGTTACAATTATTCATGAGAAAAATAATTTTTACAATACATTGCATATACAGGCTTCTAGTTAAGTGTTACCGTTGTTTTATCTTTGTGAACTATGCCTTTAAATGCTCAAACTACTTGTCCTCAAAGATTTACTAAAACAAAGTATAACATTATAATATAAATTGTAAATATATACAGTATATTTAATGCTGAAATGTTGCTGCAACCTGTCGCAGATACTTCTCTTGAAATTCCTTCGGAGAAATAGAAAGGAACAAAGCGAATGTTGATACAGTAATATAAAATGAATGTGATTGTGCATCTCAGATCATGTGGCTTTTGAAGAATTTGATTAAATAACAGAGTTCATATACTGAGATCTTTGACTTTTAAACAGCATTTAAACAGTTCTGAGCACAGTTTGAGATGTGAGATTACTGAGATTACCTTATTATTTCACGAATGTCTTTGAAGTTGGTAAACAATAGCAGATCATAGATAGTCTGGTAAAGTTTGTGTAATGAAATCATATGGTCTTGTCATGCTCAGTTTGTAAAGGAGTTCACATTTCCATGTCAGACAGGTCTTATTTAAGACTTCCTGTTGTTCAGTGGTCTTCAGGCGTAAATCAGCAACCATACAAATGTGTAACAAACAATTTATTGACATCTAAGACATGAATATGACACCATCTTTCCTGCATTTTATTTGCGCTTTAAGCATTGAATCAAATGTTGTGCTAAGGGGTGTTTTTTACGGGCATCAGGGGAGTCACTTGAAGAGCACATTATGTTTGTTTGGTTTCCCAGCAGGTTTCTGCCATTGACCTTCATCAAAGTACATGCACTGACCCACAAGAGGGCACTGTCTGTCTAGCAAAGATTTATTATTACACTGAACAGAGGTGCTGTTTTAAACATTCATTAGCTTGCTCATCCAGGAGTCAGTCTTATATTAGAACATTATATTAGTACATGAGTGATCTGAGACCTCAGTCTGTCCAGTGTGACTTAATGTCATATGCATATAATGTCGTCTATGCGCACAGTTCCAACCAACCACATGATTCCATGTTCAACTTCTGAGACGTGACATTTCTGTCTTACCTACTGCTTTGTTTTAGTACATTTTTGAGCATTTAAAGGCATAGTTCACAAAGATAAAACAACGGTAACACTTAACTAGAAGCCTGTATATGCAATGCATTATAAAAGTATTTTTAATGCATTATTTTAATGCACCTTATAACATCATATGATCTCATGAATAATTGTAACCACAGTTATAATGCATTATAATGCTATTTATATATATATATAAAGTATAATGACAAACAACCAATTTTAAATGTACAAGGAATCTGCTAATATTATAATGTGTTTTAACTTTGGTTACAACTATTATTGAAAATAGACTATAATGCATTACAACATAAATTATGAAAATGAATTTTCTTTGAAATTCAAAGAAAGTGTGAACAAAACAAACAAAAAAAATTACATGACAATTAGGTAAAAATCTGTAATCAAAAACTGATATAAAACTGCTGAATAAGGGAAAAACAACTTGTTTTAAATACAAAACTGCGTGAATTAGATATACAGTATGAGAACACATATTAACCCCCATGGTTATAAGCGAGTGCAATATTTTCTCGAAAGCCTTTCGGTTTAATATGTGCGGACATAATCCATGTTAGAATGATTCATAAACCAACCTCTGAAACTAGCCAGCCTGCTGGTATGCAGGGGTTCAGCTCCTAAAATCTGGCAAAGCTTTCACAGAACGTCACGTTCATGTTATTTAACCGCTCCACTGACACAGCAATTCCTGTTAAGAGCTCTGACAGATGGATTGAGTCAATGGCTGGATGATAATTCAAACATCATATTCTAAAAGTACAGAGCATGCAGGTTACTGAACGGACATGTATAGGTGTAGAGAACATATAGTTTAGAGAAGAATGTGCGTCTTTCAGAAATCAAATGACAAATGTGCCTTGATGATGTTGTTTATGATTCTAATGAGTAGTGTGGGAATTACACAATGGCTTTCAAGGGGATTGACTTTAGAAATTTAGGGAACAATCCACAGTCCAAACAAAACTACGTTTTTGTGATACAGAAATGTACCATAAAGTGATAAATGACAGCATTAACAACACAATCTCATGTAAATTCATAACTATTTAAGTTTTGGCAAATTGTACATTTTTATACGATCAGCTAATGCCCCAGTGACAGTTATGTTTAGGAGCTTACCTTAATATTTACTGTTTTTTTTCTTCTAAAAATTATTATGAAATCGCCACCTCGTAAAATAGTTATGTTTTTCAATGAGATTGAGTTGGTAATAATGTTTTGTCAATGTTGCTATGGTAACCTCAAATGAACATGAACATGAATAAAAAATAAGAAAGGTAAATTGCAACATTTTATCTCACAATTAAGACTTTTTCCCTTGGAATTCTGAGTTTACATCTTACTTTTTTTTTCTTCTTCTTGCAATTCTGACAAATAGTCAGATGCTAGATATAAACTTGAATTATAAAAACAAAATTATAAATTGTGAAATAAACTCTCAATCCTGAGAAAACAAGTCAGCACTGTGTGATAAAAATTTGCAATTGCCATTTTTATTTTGTATTAAAAAAAACAATTACGAGATGTAAACACTTCAAAAAAAAAGTGTCAGAATTGCGAGATGTAAACTCTGAATTTTGAGGAAAAAGTCATAATTCCAATACATAAACTTGCAATTCTAAGAAGAAAAGTCTGAACTGTGAAATATAAATTAAGAAAATCTTAAGAAAAATAACTCAGAATTGTGTGACAAAAAGGTCACAATTTAAAAAAAAAAGAGAATTGCATGATATAAACTCAAGATTTTAAAAAAGAACAGAATTGCGAGATGTAAACTCAGAATGTTGAGAAAAAAAAAGTGTCAAAATTGTGATTTGTAAACTCAGTTCTGAGAAAAAAAGTCATAATTGTGAGATATAAACATGTAAACTCTGAATCATGATATCATGCAATTCTGACTTTTTTTCCTCAGAATTATGAATTTACATCCTGTTTATATCGCACAGGCAAGAATGATTTTAGCTATGTAATGAATCTCACATTATACAAGGCCAAGTTGTTGCATCATAGGAGTTTTTGGGATTGTGCGCTACCTGTGCTTAATGCTCATATATCACATTCCTGCATGTACTTTACAGAGTTAAAGCGGTATGTGTCGGCTTTATTTTGTTATTTACTTGAAATGTTACATTCAAGTCACAAATAAGCCTCTCTGGAGCCAGGAGTCCAATCAGGTAGAGTCAACACTCTACAGAAAAGCTAAAATTTGAGGTAATTAAGACACATGCGGGACCCCACAGGGCCTCTAAGCAAATCACAGCCAGAGGACCCAATTGAAAACACATGCTGCCTCTCTTTTAGTGTACACCGACTCATGCGGTTTCTTCATCTCTTCACTTTTGTCCCACTCAAGGATTTTTACATGTATTTGATTTGATTCTAATGCAATTTCCAAATCTTTTATATGTTATTATTAAGTGTTTCGTTTCTCTATTCATCCCCCTCGGTCTTCAGGGAACCTCTGAACAACAGTCGATTCTGGAATTTAACGAAGAGACTGTGCGTAACTGACCAAAAACAAACAAAGATGTATCATCCATGGAGAAAAGATTTTCTGCAAGTGACTGGTTTCGATTCACTGTGGTTTTAAAGCGATGAATCCCAGACGTGTCTTGGCACCACAGATGTCCAAAAACAACTCATCGCAGAGTGGGACATGTGTCTCTAAGGGGGAGGAAACTCAATTGCACATTGTTATTAATACTTTGAAGTGCACAGTGCTGTGTAAGTGACAAAACATCTTAAAAGAAGAGGATCATATTTAAGACATTGTTTTTATTTAGATGGCTCTATAGCAGCTTGCATGTGCAACATAAGGCATCTTTACACTGCTGAGTTAAGGCTGCTCTGTGCCTGCTTAAAATTCTGTATGAAGATAATGCCACATAAAAGCCGGATCAAATTATGCTTGCTCTGACCCACCTCAGCCCCTAGTATCACAGTATACAGTTGAAATTGCTGTGCAAATGCATTTATGCCACCTCTGAGCAGCATTAAACAGTCTGTGTAAAGACACCTTATTTGCACTTCAGAAGCGCTTCTGTGCTACCTTTACAGTGTAACTTTGGCATTAGATTAGAAGAGCACCCATGCAAAATAGCATGAACATATACAAGATGATATTTTCAGAGGAGATGGTAACCATAACCCTTTGACATCCAGTCAGCACCTCATCTGTGAATACACCATGCCCAGACGGCCAATGATCACTGATCTTTCCTACAGATTGGGCTCATCTCTAATTCTTATTTTTAAATTTCTTATAGATTTATGACATTAGCTATAGCATGCAGTCATAGGAACACAAATCTCCAGAGTTCCAGACATGACAAGCATGCATAGTCCAGCTTCAAAAAATAACCAGACATTGATATACAACTTTAGCTAACAGTTCTGGACTTCGAATATAGGCTGCTTGCCAAATGTAATATATAGCTCTGCTCTAAAACTGGCCCATAGCGAGTTGCCTAGGAACACTCTAAAAAATCCTGGGTTATTTGTTAACCCAAATGCTGGGTTGAGCATTTTTTTGGGGTTATTTTTTCAGTGTTTGGGTAGTTTTTGTGTTACCCAGCTCCTGGGTCAAATGTAACAACCCAATGTTTGGGTAGTTTTTTAGTGTTACCCAGCTCCTGGGTCAGACATAACAACCCAATGTTTGGGTAGTTTTGTATTACTCAGATCCTGGGTCAGACTGAGGTATTTATTTATTGCGGGGATTTTGCCTTCTCTTCTGGAGAGAACAGTTATAAGCGCCATCGAATTGATGCATTTCTTCGGTAAAATATAGGTTTGTGTACATTTTATTTTATATATAAAATCGTTACTGTGCTGTATATCGTTCAATTTGTTTTGGAATGATGAAGAGGAAGATTTATCGAAGTTCTTCTTCACTTATGAGACCACTTTTCCAGGCACAAACCAAAATGCACCCGAGCGGAAAGAAAAACGCAAGCAGACCAGACCAGTCGAAGACAATAAATACTAGTAGCAGCAGCTCAGACAGAACTGCTTTAACCCTCATTTAAACACATCTGAGCTTTTTTTCTGATATTCTAGTACAAATGAACTGTAATCAACTTTTTTCCCAGTGCAGTTCCCAGTTTCCTGCAGTGCAGACATTGTCAGCGCTAAAACCGTGCCTTAACCAGCTGCAACAAGTCAAATTTATTTGTATAGCGATTTTCACAATACACATTGTTTCAAAGCAGCTTTACAGAAAAT